CGGGCAGGTCAGGAGCCGGCAGGACAGGCGAGACGGGCAGGTCAGGAGCCGGCAGGACAGGCGAGACAGGCAGTGCCGCTGGCCAAGCGGCAGCAGCTGCATTAGCAGCAGCAGGCGGTGCCGCGGGCATAGCAGCGGCAGCAGCAGCAGGCGGTGCCGCGGACAGAGCGGCGGCAGTAGCAGCTGGTGCTGCAGACGGTGCCGCGGGCAGAGCGGCGGCAGCAGCAGCAGGCGGTGCCGCGAGCAGAGCGGCGGCAGTAGCAGCTGGTGCTGCAGGCGGTGCCGCGGGCAGGGCGGCGGCAGCAGCAGGCAAGCGGGTCGCTTCAGCTGCAGCAGGCGTAGCGGCGACAGCGGGCACTGTCACCTCATAGCCAGCAGGGGGAGCTGGTGAGGCGGACAGGGCAGACGAGACTGGTGAGGCCGGCGTGGTGGTGGCAGCGGGTAACGCCGACTCGTGGCCAGCAGAGGGCACCTCAGCAGGTACCTCGGGTGGAGCTGCAGGCGCCTCAGGAACCTCGGGGGGCGCTGCAGCCTCAGGAACCACGGGGGGCACTGCAGCCTCAGGAACCACGGGGGGCTTTGCCCGCGTCCGAAATCGCGGAACCAGCGGGACAGCGTCCCTCATGGACCTTGCCCCTTTAAGGGCCAGGCGCGTCCCGAAGAAGGGGCCGGCAGCTGGCTCAGGCAGAGAAGCGGCGGGCAGACGGGCTACGGACGTAACTGTGGCCACCTCAGGAGGGTCAGGCGCCGGCAGGACAGGCGGGTCAGGCAGGACAGGCGGTGCTGCTGACCAGGCTGCAGCGGGCGGTGCCGCGGGCAGAGCGGCGGAGGCTGCAGCGAGCGGTGCCGCGGGCAGAGCGGCGGAGGCTGCAGCGGGCGGTGCCGCGGGCAGAGCGGCGGAGGCTGCAGCGGGCGGTGCCGCGGGCAGAGCGGCAGCAGCAGCAGGCGGTGCAGCAGGCGGTGCCGCGGGCAGATCGGCGGCGGCGGCAGGCAGCGCAGCCGCGGGCAGATCGGCGGCGGCAGCAGCAGCAGGCAGCGCAGCCGCGGGCAGGTCGGTGGCGGCAGCAGCAGGCGGTGCCGCGGGCAGAGCGGCGACAGCAGCAGCGGCCGCAGGCGGTGCCGCGGGCAGAGCGGCGGCAGTAGCAGCTGGTGCTGCAGGCGGTGCCGCGGGCAGGGCGGCGGCAGCAGCAGCAGGCGGTGCCGCGGGCAGAGCGGCGGCAGTAGCAGCTGGTGCTGCAGGCGGTGCCGCGGGCAGGGCGGCGGCAGGAACAGCAGGCACTGCAGGCAGATCCATAACAGGCGCCAGGGTTGGCGCCGGGAGTGCAGGTGCTGCCCCTTTTAGGGCCTTGGGGATCCGGGGAATGGCGTCCCAAACGGCCCTGGCCCCCCTATTAAACAGGCGTGCCGCCCGGAAGTCATAAGCCGCCAAGGGTGGCGGCATCTCATCGGCGGGGCTGGCGAGGGGTACCGGCAAAATGGAAGCGGTGATGACGCTTGGGGTGACGGCAGCGGAGAGAGAGCAAGCCCTCAGAAAGATCGCCGGTTCTTCTGCCTGCTTTCTCCCCTTGCGCCTCCTCCGGCTGGGCTTGGTGGGTCGAGTCGAGGCTGTCGCGGAGAGGGTGAGTGGCTGAAGCCGCCTCTCCGTTATCAGCTCGTACACCTGCCGGAGATTGTCGCGTACGTCTGCGAAGACGTGCGCTTCCGTGAGCGGGGTGACCTCTTCCAGGAGGGTCCCGCTCCGGCTGGCTAAGTCCCGTGCCACAGGATCCTCCTGGATCTCTGGTTGGGACAGCCAGTAAAGTACCTCCTGGAGCAGATCGAGGCGTTGGTCCTCGATCCGCGGAGGCACGTTGGCGAGATCTGTCATTCTGTCAGGCTGGGTGATCGAGCGAGCCGGGAAGCAAGCGAGGCAAGCCGAAAATGAAAGCAAAAGGGTTTATTTCGGACAGGACGGGACCAAGACACCATTAAACGTTAATGACAGATCTGGGGAAGACTGACTCAGACACGGACTAAATACTAAAGACAAGCCGAGACAACAAGAAACAGCTGGGCACGATCGGGAAAGCACACGTGGATAATGAGGGGGCGTGGCACACATCGGGATCGAACGGAGCGGATCGTGACAGTAGCCTTTAAGACTATTGTTCGTGCCTCAAAAAATTACATACTTTAGATCAAAATAATACATGAAATTATATCATTTCCTTTACCGTTGTTTCGTAACTAGCAACGCTTTGTCTATATTTAGTAACATGTACAAGATCATGCCTCTTCCTGGTCTTTTTCGGGCGGCCTACCTCTGGTGTTTAGCCATAAGTCATTTAAATTCATCTCAAGCTAACGTACATTATTTCTATGAAAATGACACTATTTCAAAACTATTTCACTTCGTGTCTTTGATAAGTACATTTACTAATGACGTACATTAACAGAAATCAGGCATAATGCCGTATAGATAAATTGCAGCGTGCTTTTGCCATATTTGGGAGAGATCCAGTACTGGATGGATAAGACGGCCGGGGTTGGCGAGTTATTTCCAGTTTGCAGTTAATATCTTACCTTAATGCCTTCTGAATGCAACGTCTTCTGAAGAAAATACTGTTATATAACACTCACAAATGTCGGGCGATTATAAACGTCCGATTAATGGTCGACTTTTTCTTTCGTGAAATCGGTCAGTTAAGGAACTCCTTTGACATCAAGCTCCTCGGGCTGATACAAACGTAACTTTTCATTATTTATTCCTTATTTTATATCGGCCTAATATTATGTCTCTTGTGGGCCCACACCGCTGAAGCACATTCTGTCCTTTTTAAGATTTGGTTTCCATGTTGAGTTCTGCCAAACGCGCTCATTTGGCAGGCGATGACATATGATTAATTTATTAGCTGATTCATTAATTTCATTACTTAAGGCCACGTTTTCCATCCCTACATGTTGCTGTTGCCTACATTTTGCATTTGTTTAATTAAAAACTAAGTTATACCTTACGTTCTTCTATTAGGAAACACTATAAAAAATGCATATATTTTTGCATCCATGAGCACAGAAAGTCAGTTAAATTTGACCTAAGTTTTGAATCCACTCTAATACCAGTGCTTGTACACACAACAAAACGCACACAACCTATCCTCATCCGTCCGCAATACGAGCGCGAAAGTGATGCGAAGAAGACAGCGCAGATGGAGAGCAGCGGTGACGATGACAACTGGCGCAGATGATTCTCGCGAGTCTCCAGACCTCCCATACACGCATTTGGACCTTTAACCCAAAATATCGCGATGCTTTCTAGCTGTCACTTGCTCAAATTCAGTTGCCGTTACCATTAGAGGTAAGTGATGAGGCGTGCGGATGAATGGTAAAATATCGATAATATTTAGAGAGCAAAACGCCGGATAATCGCCTACAGCAAAGACAAATTAACGATTTAATGATTTACTGCTGCAGTGTCACGGTAGGATTTAGGATTGGAAGTGGCTTTCGCAGTTGCATTGGCAGCTGTCTGTGTCGTGACTGCAGGAGGAAGACGAATTATAAAGATGTCAATCGCTGGTGAAATATAACATTGCTATCTTACATCATGGCAATATACGTGTGCGCATGTAACTCTAAATAACTATTTGTATTTAAACAGTGACGCCATTGATTTAATTTGCTGAAGGTAAACAACGTTCATGAACACAATTTGTGTCTCGCATAGTGTGAAAGTGTTATGTTTATATTCTGTATACATTATGTTACAATAAAACAAGGATATTTCGCTGAATCATTTTGTGCGTAGATAATTCTATTATTAATGTTTGTAAACTCTTATTAATAAAATAACTTCTAATAGTAGTGTAGGATAATACATTTATATCACATTATTCTATAGCAACGCGTGATTACTTAATATTGCTTAATTTTTGTTTTTAAATTGTAAAACTATTGGACAGATTCAGAGGAAAAAAACGTAGTACAGTTCGCTCCGAGGAACTATAGCCTGCTTGTTCTATAAAATCTGATAATTGTACATTAAGAGTAATTTTAAATTAAGCAATTGTCCCCACAATGTGATAAAATCCTGTTATTTTGAAGCTGTATGACCATTTTTTCTGTCCCCACAAAAGGAAATTAAGTTTTATAAAAATCTGTGACTACAATCAAAAAAGTAGAAATGCCAAAAGCCTTGTATTTTGTTTGGTTACCTATGGTTAAGGTTAGGGCTGGGTAGGGGTTAAGGTCGTCATTGTTGATATTAGAGTTTTTCCCCATAGAAATGAATGATGAGTTCCCACATGGATATGAGAATAGGTGTGTGTGTGTGTGTGTGTGTGTGTGTGTTTGTTACTGGGATGCCCATTAACACTTTCTCCTTCTGCATATATACTAATATACAGATGAATTCAGCTTTGGCAAAATGCCTCGCGGTAATAATGCAGATGAATTATGTCCTGCTTTGGTACCTGTAAAATCATGTTTAGACATTTAACCTGTAAAGTCTGTTAAGGTCTAGCTGTATAGGTGAAATATAGGAGCAGCTACTTGATGTAAGGTTTGTAGTATTTATCACTCCTGTAACACGTGAAGAGGGGAAAAGGACAGCAGAAATACTCAGTTCAGTTCCATTCGTCCTTCCGTCTGTCCATCTATCCATCCATCCATCCATACATCCATCTTCCAACCATTTATCCTGGCCAAGTCACTCACGAAGAGTCACCTCAACTGAGTGCAGAATGCCGCTGATCCTGATCAGAGATGACAGGGCCAGCTCAGTTCAATTTAATTCAATTTAATTCATTTTCATATAGTGTCCTTCCCAGCATAGTTGCCCCACAGTGGTTAACAAAGAACTGAGCAGTGTCACTGACTGACATACAACATTGTAGGGTAACAATAGTAAACATGAAGAGTGAATAAAAGCCAGAAGACGACAGAGCAGAGGAAACAAAACTCCATAATTTAATATAAGAGAAAAAAACTCTGGTGCTCCAAGGTCAACTGGCTGTACGTTGGTAACGCTGCCCTAATTCACTGAGCAGCATCACCAAGAACTCACGCTTAGATGATAGGAGTTACCTGACAGGTTAAGAAGCACAGCTCACTTAGGGATATTGCCATTTACCCCTCTGTATCTGTTCCACTCGTGCATCTGACCGAAGCCCCTGTCCGTCTTCCAGACCACAGGCTGCCTGGACGAGCAGAAACACAGCCGCGAGCCAGCAGAGCGTCCGCCTCGAAGCCGTCACGGACCCAGTGCCTGGAACGGGAGAAGAGTCTAGCTGGAAGGCACATAGGCTGCAATGGGGAACATTTTCGGGAACCTGCTGAAAAGTCTGATTGGGAAGAAGGAGATGCGCATTCTGATGGTGGGGCTGGACGCAGCTGGGAAAACCACCATCCTGTACAAACTCAAGCTGGGAGAGATCGTCACCACCATACCCACCATAGGTAGGGAGTTGGTGGTAATGCACACGTGTCTGCGGAGTGCATTTACTTAGTGCTCTGGAGATGTGTGTCGCTGTTGGGAGTGTGAAAATGGAGGATGTATACAAGCTGCACTCTGGCAGAACTCCATGTTCTCGCTCCACTGCTAGTACTATTGTTTTCTCTCTAGTTATCGCTGCGATCTGTGGCTTGAACCAACAGATATGTCACCCCCCCCCCCACACACACACACACACATACACACACACACACACACACACTCTCAGGTTTCAACGTAGAGACGGTGGAGTACAAGAACATCAGCTTCACGGTGTGGGACGTGGGCGGGCAGGACAAGATCCGGCCTCTCTGGAGACACTACTTCCAGAACACCCAAGGTCAGTCTGCAGGGCCCTCAGATGGATGCACGTCCAGCAGGGTGCTAAGCCACATAAACACTGAGCGGCTTGGTCTCTTTATGCCTCGGGGAAGAAGCGAAGAACATGCCGTGTGCTGTGGTAGGGAGCAGGACACCAGCGGCCAGCTAGGGGTCAAAGTAGCACCCAGAGTTAATGGCTGTTTGGCGCTCTTCTCAGATTTTTTCTTCTTTATGATTATGCCTCTAATGCATTTTGAGCTTTGGAATCCCGTTTCCGACAGCCGTTTTAACAAATCATGTTGCCTCCAGCTTCTTCTCTGTAGAATTGAATTTTTTTTTTGTTTGCTGAAACACATCATTTTAAATGAACTGCCAGATCTGTCCGCCAAGTCGGCTGGATCAGGCGGTTAACCAGATCAGATACTGGAAATGTGTCTTTAAAAATCCCAGTGCCAGGGTTCAAATGTGGAGGTCCAGTTGTTGCATTACTTAAAAAATTGGTACCGCAGCATTAGTTAAAATTAAGTTTAGATAGTCCAGATATGCTACAGTTACAGTTATTTACATATATTTATTATACCAATAATCATCTTGTATCCCTGGGTGATTCTGTGTACCTTTGTTCATTATTTTGAGGTTCACTCAAGTTATTCACCCTCCATTAATTTAACAAAATAACCAAAAAAAAGCTTGAAACGGCACTGGCAGGACTGATCTTCGTGGTGGACAGTAACGACCGGGAGAGGGTGAACGAGGCGCGGGAGGAGCTGATGAGGATGCTGGCGGAGGATGAGCTACGTGACGCTGTCTTGCTGCTCTTTGCCAACAAACAGGTGCCCCTCCCCCCCGCCCAGAAGTCTGCCTCTTCACTAACAGAAACCCATATTCCACAAAGTCAAGCTGTTTTTAGTTCTCAGTATTGGGGGAAAATGGGTTTTTAGACTGTAAGCCAGAGGACTTTATTGTTTTGTATTCTCTCTCTCTCTCTCTCTCTCTTTGTTTAATGGTTCACTCAGAATCCTTCTGTCGATTGCTGCTGTTTTCTCAGATCTGCTTTTATAATTTCATCTTGCCTTTTGTTATTATCTCATTCCCTTTTTATGCAGAATTGGAAATCCTTAGCAACACGTAGGTTAAATGTGTAGAAAGATGCATTCTAGCCTGTGACGCTTCCCCCGCAGGACCTGCCCAATGCCATGAACGCGGCCGAGATCACGGACAAACTGGGCCTGCACTCCCTGCGGCACCGCAACTGGTACATCCAGGCCACTTGTGCCACCAGCGGCGACGGGCTGTACGAGGGCCTGGACTGGCTGGCCAACCAGCTCAAGAACAAGAAGTGAGCCAGGCCTGGCGCTCAAGGGCGTGCCAGACAGTCTTTGTCTTCGTCGTTGTTGTTATTGTTGCTGTTCTGTTGTTGGGTGGGTGAGTGTTGGCTGGATCTTAGGCACACGTGCTCACACACAGGTCAGACAATGAACCGCTGCATGCTGATTTGGCCGAATGTCTTGCTGATGAAAGTGGGAATACTGCGAGTCAGGTATCTTCCACTCGTTTGTGTTTATTTGCAGAATGTCAGATTGAGGTTATATGGGAGCAGGGGAGGGGTGTCACTAAAGATTTTGGGCCCCATGAAAGCATATCATGCTGGGCCCATGGAACCGACACCAGTCATGTTTTCTACAAAATTATTTAAGTCCCCCCCCGAGCTCATCCTGCTAAGAACGTGCATTTAGGGATGGAGGCTGTGTGATGATATGTCACATTTCATGGCGTCTCTTCTGGAATGGGGTGTCATACCTACGTTTTGTGAGTTTGTGACTTTTGAGTGGAACGAGAAAATGCTTTCGTTGTAAAGTCTCTGTGTGACCTCGTAGACTGCGAATAAGATTCCGTGTCGATTTAACAAATGGCCCTACTTCTCCGCCGTGGGCAGTGGCTGAGAAAATAGTGTAACTTAGCTCCATCTGTTTTCTGGGTTTGGTTTCGTTAAATGCTGGCGTGCAACTAATCTGTCTAATTAGATTCAAATCTTTAAGTCAATTCAGTTGTTCTTTCATTCAGCGTTTTTTTTTTTTTTTATGTAATAGCTACGGATCCAGCAGAAGCTGCTTTTTTTCATTACAGTTTATTACAAGCTGTGACTGTCATGGTGCATTTATTTGGTTTTGCTGTTTTTTTTTTTTTAATTAACGCTACCATATTTAAAAGGAGCTGCTGCTGAAGGGAGACAACAGCCACATAGATATAGCTATACACGCATAACAGCAGGCATGCTGGGATTACGACTGAACAAACGCTGAAAACACTTTGCTGTGTATTTTCTACTCCAGTTCATTTTCTGTTCCCCTCTAAGCCGTTCTGGCTGTCAGTAACATCAGCTTCCTGCGAAGTCGCCTGGACATGGGAACAGTGTGTCGCTGTCACCGTTGTACTTGAGCTGCACTTACGTCGTGTTTGAGGTTGGCAAAGTACCGGAATGGAGCCCTAGCGCTTCACTCAGAGGCTGGTCATCCATCCACGCCGCCGCAATGCCCTCTGCTGCGTGCGAAAGTAGCCTTGCCAGGCCTCGCATGGCCAGAAGAGCTGGGAATGAGCTCACACAGTCGATTCATCTGCTTCGTGCAGGAGACACACAGGAGGACGGCAAGGCTGCACGCGGCGCATTTCCACATGTGCTGCAAGTGTACTTCAGGGGGAGACCAAGAAACATGATTTAATCTCTGTGTCGGTTTGCATTATTTCTGTAAATATTTCTCTTATTCCTTGGTAGTGATGCGTGCATTGTGAGCGACACGCCAGAAACGAAGTAGTCAGCCTGCGCGTTCCCAGGCTGAAAATGTAGTAATCTGCCGTACAGTGATTTTACTTTCCTGATGTTTAGTGGACATTAAGTCAGATTGATTCGGATAATATTCATTCTCCGATTGACGGTGACGTAAGTGTGAATGGAGTTTTCTGTTATTCGTAACAGGCCTCTAGGTTACTGCTGTTTGTGTAGCCTGCCTGACAGTCCTCCGCACGCTGCATTTTAATGATCATGCACAGTGCCGTGCGTGGGAGTACTGCGTCTGCATTTGTCTATGTGAGCCACCTTCTGACTGTGCCTGCAGACACTCATGGAAATAATCCACGATAAAGCATCCTGAGTAAGTCACTTTTTTTAAACACTAAAGAGGAATTATGTATATTTTACTCAAATTGGTCTGAAAATTCAATGGTGTTCCACATTCTTGTATAATGTCTTATTTATCTTGTAATTATTGCCTGTGTATTTCTATTTAATATAAAAATGTGTTTTATTTTTGGAAAGTTTTTGATGTTCAATCCATTGGCTTCTCTTAAAAATGTGACTTTTTGGTGTAAGTTTACTGTTCAATTTTAATAGCTATACCAACTGAAAATATTTTTTAGCAATGAAAAATTTGTTTATCAGGTTATCATGTGATTCATTTTTGCAGTCATTCCATTGTATACTGCTTTATAGGGAGAATAAATCTGTTCTTTTTCTGTTTGAATGGCCCTGTTGCAACTTTTTGAAGATGATCACCTCAATTATTTATTTACATATGCAGCTGAATAAGGGCAGCAGAGTGAAACTGATTTATATGTCACAGATAATTCACTAGCATTAATAAAAAATTGTGCCAGTATACATCCATCTGTTTGTCTGTCCATCCATCCGTTTGTCTTTCCATCCATCCTCCAGTGCCAGACAGACATGTTAGCAAATGCTTCACTACTTCACTAAACAGTTTCTTCAGTTAATTGTTTTCATGAAAATGCAGGTGCTGAGCCAAAGAGGTCATTAAGCCCAAAAAAAATCTTGGGGGGGGGGGGTTAGAATTTTTTTTTGCTCATTAACAAAAATCTGTCATCATGTGCTACATAGAAGCTGATATCATTCCCTTATCACTTATGTGGCTTTCTGAACACTTAGAGACACATTATTTTTTAAATAGTCTATTGGGAAGTCTGCCTTCATTAAATAAAGAGTGACTCTCCTGACAATGTTGCTTCAAGTTCTTTGCTCACTTATAGATTTATGTGTTTTTAGGGGGCGAAAGGCTAATGATTCCATGTCCCCTGGAAACATAAATGTCAAAGTCTGCCTAGTGTCATAGTGCTCTATGTCCCCCTTGTGTCACGGGGGCAGGGGGGGGGGTCCTACCTAGTGCCCCAGTGCTCTGTGTCCCTCTCGTGTCACGGGGGCAGGGGGGGGGGTCCTACCTAGTGCCCCAGTGCTCTGTGTCCCTCTCGTGTCACG